TGGTGAGCTTGCTCCCAAAGGCAAAACCGTGCGGGGAAGGATGAAAGTACCCAGAGCGGACAATATCGCACTACGGGTCAACTTTACTGGGCTGTTACAGTGGTATCAGAGCCAGTACCCGGGCCATGTGCCAGCGAGGACGCTGGGCCCCTCTGAGGGGGGTGGATGTAATATCCCACATCGGTTGTGAAGGAGAACGAAGCATGCCATATAAGTGGCTGTGGACACCTTCACTAGTGTGACGTGTTTTGGTGAGCTTGCTCCCAAAGGCAAAACCGTGCGGGGAAGGATGAAAGTACCCAGAGCGGACAATATCGCACTACGGGTCAACTTTACTGGGCTGTTACACCAATCATATCTGACTGCCAACCCTCTTGCACAACATCCTGTACTCCTTCCCTTTTTAGCCACCGTTTATCAAAGAAGAACCTTTTGCTTCTATGCTCCTGTCTGGCTGGGTTGTCATTAAGAGCTAGCAACCTGTGATCAGAGGAGCTTCTAAAAATGTTCTGAACCTCCACATCCTCATGGTCAGCAAGCCAATCAAAAGAAACAAATATTTTGTCTATCTTTTCTTCAATGAAACCTTCCTCACTCCTACAATTCTCCCATGTGAAATTATGCCCTATTAGATGGAGCTCCTGCATCCCCATCCTTGCAATAAAATTGTTGAAGCTTATAAATTCACTTGCTATTTTCACCCTTCCTCCCCTCTTCTCACTAGGTGCACAAGTCTCATTCCAGTCACCCCCCAAAATCCACTTACTACCCCATGATGTTTTAGCTGCTTCCAGAAAATTCCATTGTCTCATCCTCTCAGCCTTGTCTGTACTGGCATGAATAAATATAATCCAAAAAGATTCATCCCCTCCTGACCCCTCAATTTCAATCTGGATGCAGAAATGATTACCAAAAACTTGATTAACCACCATTTAAGCACTTCACAATACCAATAATCCTCCACTTAAACCTTGGGGCTCAACTGCAAACCATCTATCTTTAAAACCTATATTACTACATACTGATTTTATAAATGATTTTTCTTTTTGGTTTCTGATAAGAAGACAAAATTGGGATGGATGAGTCTAGAAGACTCCTTGATCTGGGCAACTGTAGAGGGTCCACCAGCCCTCTACAGTTCCACATGATGAGCTTCATTGGTCCATTGGGGGCCACTCCAGGCTGGCCACCTCCACCTCAAACAAGTTATTTTTCTTCTTCTTGGTATTTCTAAGATCTGAGATCTCATCAGCGTTTTCAATTGGAACAGTTGCTGCATTTCTTTTCCTTCCTCTGGTAATGATATCATCAGGATTTGAAATAGGCAGAGTAGGTGTGGAAGATTCCCCATTAATCTCCTTACTCTTCCTTTTCCATCCTTTCCTTTTCTGAGATTCAACCATGAAAGTTTCAATCTTGTTATCCTGCAGCTGACTTGAGTCTTCACCTGTATCCATCTCATTGGTTTCAGATTGAGTAATGATTGGAAGGTAAGATGGACTTGGTACAAGGGCTAAAAGTAGTTGCTGATCTCTTGTGGGTGGAGGAGATTCTCCCACATGTTCTGATATATTTGTCACCCTGAGATTCTTGTCCTGTTGCGGTTGTGATTCACTCCCTGCGGATTTATGAATAGGGGTATCCGCTTTGGCTCCATGGCTAGACTCTTGTTCTTTGCTAGGAGAGCCTGTATACTGATTCCCTGAACTGAAAGCAGATTGCGATCTATATCCTGCACTTCCATCCATTGCTCGTAGCCATTTCCCATATTGGCCTTCACGCAAAGTTCCATTATCAATGTCTTCCATTTTCTTGCCGCAGTGTCTTTCTAAATGGCCGATGATTCCACAATAATAACAGGTATTGATCAGTTTCTCATACTGGAACCTGGCTCTTACTTGAGTGTTGTTAAGCTTCAAGTTTGCTATTCTTGGCAGTGGTTTAGTAACATCAACCACAGCTAGAAGTCGGAAATAGCTGCCTTTCTGTCCCCCAGCTTTTACCACATGGACATTCTTGGTTTGCTTGAACATTTGGCCTATCTTTAGTCCCACCTCAGTACTAAGCCAATTTATAGGCACATCATTGACTTGCACCCAAAGTTTGAGTTCAGTGAATTTGCTATGCCACTCAGTTAAGCCTTCTTCCCATTCAGCAAGTATCAAGTATTGATTTTCATAAACCCAGTTGGTCCCGGATAAGACCTTTTGTTTGTCAGCCACACTCCCAAAGATAAATTGGAAAAAATTGGTCTTTACTTCTCTAACCTCCATAGGATGTTGAATCTGCTAAATAGCCCCCATAGCTCTTCTGATTCCAACTAAACTTGCTCTTCGATCACCAATAATCCGGCCAAATAAGCTCTTCTTGCATTCCCCTTCGGTTAGCTTAATATCTTCATTTTTTAAATCAATCAGACAGCTTTCCGATTCCGACAGCGCAATGTTTTGAAGAAGATTTTCAAGGTCTGCTGCATCTCCATCCATTCCCTTGGCCCCAGTCACGTCGCAATCCATCAAAGCTCTCCAAAGCAGCCTTAACCTGAAAGAAAAAGAAGAGGAAAAAGAAAAGGAAAAAAGAAAAGGGACCTAGACCCCCAACCCCAAAAAGCCCTTAATCCCCCTCACAAAACAGCACAACAAAGATCCCAAAAAAAAAGAGCACCAAAAACCCACCCCCGATGGAATGAAACTCCCCAAGAAGAGAATCGAATCTCTCACTTCCCTCAGAAGAATCGCTCACTCCCCACAGGAGAATCATTGACACCCACTTTTCTTTCCCAAAAGGACATCTCTAGCACACTCTGTTTGAGAGTTTTTTTTTTTTCCCCAATGTTATAAAGATCATATTTAAATTCTGAATTAATTAAATTACTCATAACAATAGTATTTTCTGAAAACCATATGCACAAACCAAGTAATCATCAAGTTCAATTATGAAGCCCATATGAAACTGAATTTGGTTTCAATCAAGATAAAAGTTGTTGGCAAAGAAACATAGACAAAAATCCATCAAGAGATGACCGATAAATATTAACCTTCGATATGGCCAGAATCTGAAGCCGGCGGTGGTTGAATTCCACACATACGCAGTCAACCCTGGCAGTGGGATGATCCAAGATCTGAAGCCGGCGGTGCCCACGTTTTTTTCCTCCAAGTCCCGCCAATTTAAACTTTTAAGCTCCCAGAAATTTATTTATTTATTTTTTTCGGCTAGTCAGCCCGTCTAACCCCCGGCCCGCGGCAGGGTTGGGTCGGGCGGCCCTTTTAGAGGACCGTCAATATGGCGGGTCAGCCCGTCCCGCCTCGCCTCACCAACTGGGTTTTGACGGGCTACGGGGCAGCCCGCCTCGCCGATCCATTTTGACATGTCAAGTTGCTAGCCCATATTATTTCCTGCATAAGCAAATCAAACTAAATTTCCACTTGTGCGTTCATTTTTTCACCAATCGTTGGTGGGTTGTAACTGATTCCGGCAATGGCGATGTTCGTATTCAGTTGGTCGCCCTTCATTTGTTCTTCATTTTTTCATTTTTTATTTTTTTTGAAATATATAAAATTTTTAAAAACCTTTAAAAATCAGCTTTTTTTTTGGCAAAACTACTTTTATTTCCGATTTAGAGGCAATTTCACAAACCCGTATATTTTAGGTGATGGTTTATTAAAAAAAACTAGTACGTATCCCGTGCGATGCACGGGAGAGAGATATTAAATTAATTATTTTCACAGGCTCTGTGCGTTTAAGTATGAGAAGGGTTATCATCTATTTTCCACCTCTTCTAATCACTGTTAAGTCCCGTTTAAGTCTGAAAAGGGTTATCATACATTTTTCACCTCTTTTAATCACCGTTAAGTCTAAAAAAATAGGGTTGTAATATATTTTTCAAATCTTTTAATCAGCGTTGTTTTATTAGTCAGAACATTAAACGTGAGCATGTTAGGGCTAACTTGTAAAATAATTAATACATTATCTCACTAACACATTTATACTAATATAAATTTAATTTTATTATATATATTTATTCCTTGATATAAGAGAAAATAACAATTTTACTTATTCTTGTTCACTATATAATAGTTAATTATTATTTTACTATAAACTCTGTTGCCATATAATGTCATTATTATTTATAAGGTTATAGAAGTTGCACGTCTTCTTGTTCTTTTTATTTTATGTAATAAATTATATTTAATGCACGTTAATATTATTTATATAAGTAATCAATTTAAAATATGTACATAAATTTAAAATTAAATAGTGTATAAATAATGTACAAAATATACACATATATTTTTTTCGAATTCTTATTATATATGTAGATTACAATTTTTGCGACACCAACCAAACTAAATATCACAACAACCAAGTAACAATTATGAAAAACCCATAACACAACAACTATCAATTAAATTTGGTAATAGAAAAATTACATACATATATATATAAAAATATGAGAATTCTATATTTCTATTACCTGATGTATACAACGCGTGTATATTTTGTTAAGGTATATTGAAATGTTCAATTTCATAGCATGATAACAATCAGTCTTAAAAAATCAAAAATCTTATTGAAATGCCATATTTTTCTGTTAAAAAAAAGTTCTCATAAAAAATAATTATATTATAGCAATTTTATTTTGTAATTGAACAAATTTCTATAATGAATCCCGATTTTTTTTGTACAAAAATGACGCAACAACTTCCACATTTTAAAGAAATCAATTAATGTTGGTCTGTTTTTGCTAAAAAAATAATAAATAAATAAATAATAATTAATGAAAAGTAATTAATGATGAGAGAATTTGACCATATAATTGACCTGCCATTTTTTTAAAAATGGTCATTCTTATTTTATATATATATATAGATAAATAAATCAGTTAAATAAAATATTAATACCAAAATAGTAATAGCATTTAATGCAGTTGACTTTTCTGGATACTAAACATAGTAAATAGGATCCCTTTTTATATAACTATAGATATAGATAGTTTATATGGTGATGCGAAAAATCGTTATAGTTCAAATAGCAAAAAGTTATTTTTTCCCCATTTTGTGACGCTACTTCTATGTTAGATCATCCGCAGCCAATTGTAATATGGAACACCTAAGAACAAAGTAATGATTACTTCTTAATAATACTCCATAATTTCGGGGAAATAATTATTATGCTCTATAATTACTCCTACAAGCAAATTATTTTTCACAATGAACTTTTTTATTTTACAAAAAGATTTCCCACCTCTCAATATATAGCATTACACAAATTTTATAAACACGGATTAATACCCGATTTACAGAAGATGATAATGATGATATTTATATATGATATGGGATATTATATGCCTAAAGAATAGACCGGTTTACCACGTTGGATGTACGAGCTCGATATCGGGAAAATTGCATTGGTCGAGCAATAATTGGTTAAGAGGAAGTAATCGAGCAAGATAGCAGACCTGGTCGATGATCGATCTAGCAAAAGGGGGCTCAGTCAGATTGAGCACTCGATGGGTGAAGAGCAATCGAGGGCGTGACTTGAACGTGAGAAAGCGCGTGGACCTGGTCAGAAAATCCCAACGGAATATGCAGGAGAATAATCACCGTCCGCTCAGAGGGGCACGTAGTGAAAGTACATTGGTGCAGAGCGATAGTGGCGATAACCACCTCTGACACACGCACACTGTGTGTACGGACGGGCAGCACTGGGAGGACAGCTCATCAGATCCGGGCAGCTCCTAGGGCAGGTATCTCATTCCTATATTTATATGAGTGAGCCTTTCTTGGTACTTACGATTTATCCATTTCTTACTTTGGAGAATTGAATGAAACACATACTTACTTAAGCATCGGAGGCTCTTCACCGGAAAATAGCCCCTCGGTGTGAGAGTTCTTTGCAAGTATGCGGTATTCTACCGGTGAGGAGAATGAAGGCGAGCCGATTTCAAGCCAGCCGGAGTGTTTTGCGTTACCATTTTGGCGCCGTTTGTGGGACTTTCGTTCGAAAAGTGGTGTGCTGAGATTACTAAAGCTTGGTAGCTATGGCGGACGTAATTCCTAGGAGAGACTTGCAAGCATCGTTCGACGAGGCGTGGACGACGACAAGGACGTTTGGAGCAGGCCCTTCTCCGAGCTTTTCTGGACCCTTACCTACACCGGTGACTCCGGTGCCTGTTCCACAAGGTGTGGGGGTCACGCTGATGCATCCTGCAGCTGATGTGGGCTCAAGTCGAGCTCAGGAGGTCTGTACGACTCAGGAAACGGCGATCCCAACGCCGTTGCTGCCAGATCTGACCGCGGCGCTGCAGCAAGGAGCGATGGTGCAGGGAGTAGCGCCGCCGCGGGTGGAGGAGCAGTGCCTCGGCCAGCAGGTGGTGATGACCAGGGAGGAGATGCAGCAGATGATGGCGAACACGACAGCACAGGCGGTCCTGCAGGTGACCCAAAGCCTTTCCCGAGTGGCTACTGGGCCGACGATTGTGGAGGAGGATGTGTCTAGCTATGGGAGAGATGGAGCTCTGCGAGATCGGGAGGTGGATAGACTCGCAGAGCAAGTGAGATAAATGTAGGCCAAGATGGATGGTCGACCTGAAAGGCGTGCTCGAGGACACCCGTTCTC